AATGGGAAATCACAATTCACTGTCTGAATGGAAAATGGGAGTCTGTGAGCTGAGAGGGTTAAATACACACCATTCATGTATAAATAAGATCTGTTTTATGATTTCACACAGGATACTATAATACTCTGAATTAACCATTATGCCTGGGACAGATTGGGTTAAACCATCATAAGGGCCAGAACTCTTTGTTCTGTTCTGGTTTAATGTCAGTCAGTGAGGGGTTAATTGGCTTATTAGTCATATTCTATGTGTTTATTGTCGGTCAGCAAGGGGTTAAGCGTTTATTAGTGGTATTCCTTGTGTTAAGTGGTCATCAGTGAGGTGTTACACTGCCTATTAATGGTAAACTGTGTGTTTAAAGGCAGTCAGTGAGGGGTTAATCAGTTTATTAGTATTATTCAGTGTTTAATGGCAGTCGGCTGGGGGTTAATAGTATTATGTGTGTTTAATGGTAGTCAGCGAGGGGTTAAGCGGTTTAGTAATAGTATTCTGTGTATTTAATGGTAGTCAGTGAGGGGTTAAGCATTTTATTTATAGTATTCTGTGTGTTTCTGTGTGTTTAATGGCAGTCAGCAAGGGGTTAACCAGTTTATTAATAGTATTCTTTGTGTTTAATGGCAGTCAGCGAAGGGTTAAGCGGTTCATTAGTACAATTCTGTCTAATTTTAATGTCAGTCAGTGAGGGGTTAACTAGCTTATTGGTCATATTCTATGTGTTTATTGTCAGTCAGCAAGAGGTTAAGTGGTTTATTGATAGTATTCTCTGTATAATGGCAGTCAGCGAGGGGTTAAGCGGTTTATTAATAGTATTCTGAGTGTTTAATGGCAGTCAGCGAGGGGTTACGCGGTTTATTAATAGTATTCTGTATGTTTAATGGCAGTCAGCAAAGGGTTAAGTGGTTCATTAGTACAATTCTGCTTGGGTTTAATGTCAGTTAGTAAGGGGTTAACTAGCTTATTGGTCATATTCTATGTGTTTATTGTCGGTCAGCAAGGGGTTAAGTGGTTTATTGATAGTATTCTGTGTATAATGGCAGTCAGTGAGGGGTTAAGCGATTTATTAATAGTATTCTGTGTGTTTAATGGCAGTCAGCGAAGGGTTAAGCGGTTCATTAGTACAATTTTATGTTTAATGGCAGTCAGCGAGGGGTTAAGCAGTTAATTAGTATTATTCTGTGTTTAGTGGCAGTCAATGATGGGTTAACTGATTTTTGGTATATTCTGTGTGTTTAGTCTGTTAGCAAGGGGTTAACTGGTTTGCCAGTGTCATTCTGTCTGGGTTTAATATCGGCCAGCAAGGGGTTAATCGGTTTATTGATAGTATAATGGCAGTCAGCGAGGGGTTAATTGGTTTATTGATAGTATTCTGTGTATAATGGCAGTCAGCGAGGGGTTAGGCGTTTATTAATAGTATTCTGTGTGTTTAATGGCAGTCAGCGAGGGGTTAAACAGTTTATTAATAGTATTCTGTGTATAATGGCAGTCAGCGAGGGGTTAAGCGGTCGTTAGTACTATTCTGTGTTTAATGGCAGTCAGCAAGGGGATAAGTGGTTTATTAATAGTATTCTGTGTTTAATGGGAGTCAGCGAGGGGTTACGCGGTTTAATAGTATTCTGTGTTTAATGGCAGTCAGCAAGGGGTTAACTGATTTGTGGTATATTCTGTGTGTTTAGTCTGTTAGCAAGGGGTTAACTGGTTCGCCAGTCTTGTTCTGTCCGGGTTTAAAATCAGTCAGTGAGGGGTTATCTGGTGTATTAGTCATATTCTATGTGTTTGTTGTTGGTCAGCAAGGGGTTAAATAGTTTATTAGCGATATTCTATCCATGTTTAATACTACTCAGCGAGGGGATAATCATTTATTAGTGGTATTCCTTGTGTTAAGTGGCTCTCAGTGAGGGGTTATGCTGTCTATTACTGGTAAATTGTGTGTTTAATGGCAGTCAGGGAGGGGTTAAGCAGTTTATTAATAGTATTCTGTGTATAATGGCAGTCAGCGAGGGGTTAAGTGGTTTATTGATAGTATTATGTGTTTGGCAGTCAGCGAGGGGTTAAGGGGTTTATTGATAGTATTCTGTGTTTAATGGCAGTCAGCGAGTGATTAAGCGGTTTATTAATTGTATTCTGTATATAATGGCAGTCAGCGAGGGGTTAAGCGGTTTATTGTATTCTGTATATAATGGCAGTCAGCGAGGGGTTAAGCGGTTTATTAATAGTATTCTGTGTATAATGGCAGTCAGCGAGAGGTTAAGGTGTTTATTGATAGTATTCTGTGGATAATGGCAGTCAGCTAGGGGTTAAGCGGTTTATTAATAGTATTCTGTGTGATTAATGGCAATCAGCGAAGGGCTAAGCGGTTCATTAGTACAATTTTATGTTTAATTGCAGTCAGCGAGGGGTTAAGCAGTTTATTAGCATTATTCTGTTTTTAGTGGCAGTCAGCAATGGGCAAACTGATTTTTGGTATATTCTGTGTGTTTAGTCTGTTAGCAAGGGGTTAACTGGTTTGCCAGCTTTGTTCTGTCTGGGTTTAATGTCGGTCAGAAAGGGGTTAATCGGTTTATTGAAAGTATAATGACAGTCAGCGAGGGGTTAATCGGTTTATTGATAGTATTCTGTGTGTAATGGCAGTCAGTGAGGGGTTAAGCAGTTTAATACTAGTATTCTGTGTATAATGGCAGTCAGCGAGGGGTTAAGCGGTTGTTAGTACTATTCTGTGTTTAATGGCAGTCAGCGAGGGGATAAGTGGTTTATTAATAGTATTCTGTGTTTAATGGGAGTCAGCAAGGGGTTAAGCAGTCTATTAATATTATTCTGTGTTTAATGGCAGTCAGCTAGGGGTTAACTGATTTGTGGTATATTCTGTGTGTTTAGTATGTTAGCAAGGGGTTAACTGTTTCACCAGTCTTATTCTGTCCGGGTTTAAAATCAGTCAGTGAGGGGTTAACTGGCGTATTAGTCAAATTCTGTGTGTTTATTGTCGGTCAGCAAGGGGTTAAGTAGTTTATTAGTGATATTCTATCCATGTTTAATACTCAACAGCAAGGGGATAAGCGTTTAGTAGTGGTATTCCTTGTGTTAAGTGGCTGTCAGTGAGGGGTTACACTGTCTATTACAGGTAAATTGTATGTATAATGGCATTCAGTGTGGGGTTAAGGGGTTTACTGATCGTATTCTGTGTTTACTGGCAGTCAGCGAGGGGTTAAGTGGTTTATTAATAGTATTCTGCGTTTACTAGCAGTCAGCGAGGGGTTAAGTGGTTTATTGATAGGATTCTGTGTATAATGGCAGTCAGCGAGGGGTTAAGCGGTTTATTAATAGTATTCTATGTTGAACCCCTTAAGGAGGAAACTTCTGAAATAAAAGGGAATCAAGACATGTCACACATGTCATGTGTCCTTAAGGGGTTAATGGCAGTCAGCTAAAGGTTAAGGGGTTTATTAATAGCATTTTGTGTATAAAGGCAGTCAGTGAGGGGTTAAGCGGTTTATTAATAGTATTCTGTGTATAATGGGAGTCAGGAGGGGTTAATTGATAGTATTCTGTGTTTTAATGGCAGTCAGCGATGGGTTAAGCGGTTTATTAATAGTATTCTGTGTATAATGGCAGTCAGCGAGGGGTTAAGGGGTTTATTGATAGTATTCTGTGTTTAATGGCAGTCAGCGAGCGGTTAAGCGGTTTATTAATAATATTCGGTGTATAATGGCAGTCAGCGAGGGGTTAAGGAGTTTATTTCTAGTATTCTGTTTAATGGCAGTCAGTGAGCGGTTAAGCGGTTTATTAATAATATTCGGTGTATAATGGCAGTCAGCGAGGGGTTAAGGAGTTTATTTCTAGTATTCTGTGCTTAATGGCAGTCAGCGAGGGGTTAAGCGGTTTATTAATAGCATTCTGTGTATAATGGCAGTCAGCGAGAGGTTAAGCGGTTTATTGATGGCATTCTGTGTTTAATGTCAGTCAGCGAACGGTTAAGTGGTGTATATATATATTCATATACATATAGTATTCTGTCTTTAATGGCAGTAGGCGAGGGGTTAGACGGTTTTTAATAGTATTCTGTGTATAATGGCAGTCAGCGAGGGGTTAAGGGGTTTATTGATAGTATTCTGTGTATAATGGCAGTCAGCGAGAGGTTAAGCGGTTTATTGATGGCATTCTGTGTTTAGTGTCAGTCAGCGAACGGTTAAGTGGTATATATATATATAGATATAGTATTCTGTCTTTAATGGCAGTCAGCAAGGGGTTAACCGGTTTTTAATAGTATTCTGTGTTTAATGGCAGTCAGCAAGGGGTTAAGTGGTTTATTAATAGTATTCTGTGTATAATGGCAGTCAGCGAGAGGTTAAGCGGTTTAATAATAGTATTCGGTGTATAATGGCAGTCAGCGAGGGGTTAAGCGGTTTATTGATAGTATTCTGTGTATAATGGCAGTCAGCGAGGGGTTAAGAGGTTTATTGATCGTATTCTGTGTATAATGGCAGTCAGCGAGGGGTTAAGCGGTTTATTAATAGTATTCTGTGTATAATGGTAGTCATCGAGGTGTTAAGCGGTTTATTAATAGTATTCTGTGTATAATCGCAGTCAGCAAGGGGTTAAGGGGTTTATTAATCGTATTCTGTGTATAATGGCAGTCATCGAGGGGTTAAGCGGTTTATTAATAGTATTCTGTTTATAATGGCAGTCAGCGAGGGGTTAAGCGGTTTATTAATAGTATTCTGTTTATAATGGCAGTCAGCGAGGGGTTAAGCGGTTTATTAATAGTATTCTGTTTATAATGGCAGTCAGCGAGGGGTTAAGCGATTTATTAATAGTATTCTGTTTATAATGGCAGTCAGCGAGGGGTTAAGCGGTTTATTAATAGTATTGTGTATAATGGCAGTCAGCGGTTTATTAATAGTATTCTGTGTATAATGGAAGTCAGCGAGGGGTTAAGCGGTTTATTAATAGTATTCTGTGTTTAATGGCAGTCAGCGAGGGGTTAAGCGGTTTATTAATAGTATCCTGTGTATAATGGCAGTCATCGAGGGGTTAAGCGGTTTATTAATAGTATTCTGTGTATAATGGCAGTCAGCGAGGGGTTAAGCGGTTTATTGATGGTTTTCTTGCTTAGAAGAAGATGGTCAGAGATGATGATCTGTCAGCATTATCGACTTACTGACTGGCTGCTTTTAAAGGCTCCCAGGAGAATGGGGAATTAACCCCTGGCTGGCCAGAAGGTTCACACCGAGCAAGCGGACAACTTACTCTTCTGATCACAGCTGGCTCTTTATACTTGTTGTTTTAATATTATTTTCCTTATTAATGAATAACCCCTAATATCTAATATCCACTGTGATGATCCCACCCTGCACTGCAATACTGTGCAGCCCTTCCCTGTACAGAGGGCGGTAGGTACCCACTTTGTAAGTGGTCACTTCTCTCATAGATTTCATACAAATCTGTAAATGGAATCAGAATAATAATAGGAAGGGTTAGGGACTGTCTCTCCTAAATAGGGACACTTGGGAGGTATGCTTGTGTAACAGGCCCATTGTAATATTTATATATCATAACCCAGCACTGCCAGCCGGTAAAGGGATGTTAGGACATATTAATAATAATTTTCACCTTACAGTTTAGTGACTAGCCCTGTATGGTTTAAATGGGAATTATTTTAAGTTAGAGCAGGGACAAGAAGTTGTCTGTCTGAGGGATCCATATAAACTCCCCCCCCCCCATTCCTGACCCCCTCACGTTTTAGAGGTTCTTGTTAATTGTTATTGTTATTTGCAGAGCTCCCCTGACCCCCATTGTTTGCAGAAGTCCACCATGATCACCCTAGTTTGCAGAGCTCCCCCCTGCACCCCATTGTTTGCAGAAGTCCCCCATGATCACCCTAGTTTGCAGAGCTCCCCCCTGCACCCCATTGTTTGCAGAAGTCCCCCATGATCACCTTAGTTTGCAGAGCTCCCCCCTGCACCCCCCTTGTTTGCAGAAGTCCCCCATGATCACCCTAGTTTGCAGAGCTCCCCCCCCCTTGTTTGCCCCCCCCCTAGAAGTCCCCCATGATCACCCTAGTTTGCAGAGCTCCCCCCTGCCCCCCTTGTTTGTTTGCAGAAGTCCCCCATGATCACCCTAGTTTGCAGAGCTCCCCCCCCCATGCACCCTAGTTTGCCTCCCCCCTGCACCCCCTTGTTTGCAGAAGTCCCCCATGATCACCCTAGTTTGCAGAGCTCCCCCTGCCCCCCCTTGTTTGCAGAAGTCCCCCATGATCACCCTAGTTTTCAGAGCTCCCCCCTGCACCCCCTTGTTTGCAGAAGTCCCCCATGATCACTCTAGTTTGCAGAGCTCCCCCCTGTACCCCCCTTGTTTGCAGAAGTCCCCCATGATCACCCTAGTTTGCAGAGATCCCCCCTGCACCCCCTTGTTTGCAGAAGTCCCCCCTGATCATCCTAATTAGTAGAGCTCCCCCCTGACGCCCCTAGTTTGCAGAGCTCCCCATTGTTTGCAGAGCTCCCCCCTGACCCTACCTGTTTGCAGTGCCCACCCCCGGGAGCCGCTAGACCTGTTTTACGGAAGGGTGAGTGGAGGTTGCTAGCAGGGGGTCCAGGGCCCACTCACTCCCCCCTCCCTGTAGCAGTGCAGGTTTTTGGTCGGGAAGCAGTGATGTCAGAGTGGTGCATCCCTCTCGCGGTGCATGATGGTAAAATCCCAATGTTTTCACTGATGCTCTAGGAAGCAGTGGAGGCTGGATTTTGGGGAGGGGGTTGGAGGAAGATGCATATGATGGAGGAGCCCCCTTGTTCCATGAGGGTCAGGAACCCAGAGCTTCCCTGCTGAGGGCAGGATCCTGGATGGCAGGGAGGGACCTGTGACTCCTTTAATGTCTCCTGTCCAAGCATTGCCCATGGGAGCCTATGGCCAGATCACAAGAGCCCCCTGGATCCCTCCTGCCGAGGGGCAGATCCCACAGTGACCCCAGCATCATCACAGAGCCTGTATCAGGGGCCCAGGACATCCCAGGTAGTACCCCAATGTATGCAGGGGAGGGGGGAGTATCTGGGAGGTGTGCCTCCAATGAGCTGGGCATTGAAAGGGTTAATGAGGGCTGGTGTTGTGGAATGGTGGGGAAGGGGGCAATGCATTTCTCTGTAGAAGTGGCATCATCTGCAATAGCCTATATATTACCCCATGGTCCTGATGGCAGTATGGACTGTCAGGTATGTCCTGGAGTCAGGTAGGTACTGTCAGATTTGGACTGGCTGGTGTCTGTATGTTGAGATGCTATAGCTCATTAATAGAACTAATACCACTGGGCCCCCATGGTATCACTGGGGCCTCTGCCTGCTATTCAGAGGCAGCACTGAATGGACAGATGCTACTGTGCTGGCTGAGCAGTGTGTGAGTTGGAACACTAATTTCAGGTGTTGATTTATGCTCTCTCTGTCCTTGGACATTGTGTTCATATTGGGAAATGTCACTTGCTGATGGGGTCTGTCACTGAGTGCTGGGAGTTGCTTCCAATCTCTGCATTATGACTGAGAGTTAAAGAGCCAGTTACATTTTATTTGTCATTTTATCTGTTAGATTTCCATGGAGCTGGAGGGGGTAGAGTGCTTTTTGTGGTTGCCATGGAGATGAGAAGAATAATTGAAGGAGAGCTGACTGATGACTTGTTGTGGGGGAGGAAGGCAGTTGTTGGGAGGTGATTCTGGCTGAGAGTGATGGCGGTGACCAATGCTGTCTATCTCTGATAACAGTAGATCTGTGTATTCTGAATATCTCCATAAATTGACCTTATTGTGAGCAATCAATCTGCTGTTTAACAAACTGCTCTCTGGAGATCCATTGGACTGGGTCAGGTTACAGCACTGAGCACATGCTGTGTCATGCCCCCACTGAGCTGCAATGCAGTGTATCCACCACTCCTGTAGGCATGGCTGGATGGGTCCATGTTCACTGAGAATCCGGGTAATATGTGCATTAAGCAGACTCCCTTATTGGTTTATTACTAGAGCCGGATCAATCAGACACAAAGCTCTGCCATGGGGGGATGAGGGTCTCCAACGCTTTCACAGAGGATTCCTGAGAAGGCAGCGCTTTGTTCTGTAAATTCATTTTATAGAAAATTACCCCTTGAATGTAATGGCTCATACCAGCAATTCGCAGGATACCGCCTCCATACTCGAATCCATTACGCTGCTCCCCCTCTCATTAAATGAAAGGTCATCTATTCCTTCTACAGCTAAATTCATTAACCGCACCCCCTCTTATTGTATGAATGGCCTGCACTGTACCCCTATATCTCTCACCTTCTATACCCAAATTCATTACGCTGCCCCCCTCTTATTGTATAAATTGCCTACACTGTACCCCTATATTTATCACCTTCTATACCCAAATTCATTACGCTGCCCCCCTCTTATTGTATAAATTGCCTACACTGTACCCCTATATTTATCACCTTCTATACCCAAATTCATTACGCTGCCCCCCTCTTATTGTATAAATTGCCTACACTGTACCCCTATATTTATCACCTTCTATACCCAAATACATTACTCTGCCCCCCCTCTTTTTGTATGAATGGACTGCACTGTACCCCTATATCTATCCCCTTCTATACCCAAATCCATTAACCCGCACCCCCTCTTTTTGTATGAAAGGCCTGCACTGTACCCCTATATCTATCCCCTTCTATACCTAAATTCATTATGCTGCCCCCCTCTTATTGTATGAGTGGCCTGCACTGTACCCCTACATCTATCACCTTCTATACCCAAATTCATTACTCTGCCCCCCTCTTATTGTATAGCATTCCTGCACTGTACCCCTATATCTCTCACCTTCTATACCCAAATTCATTACTCTGCACCCCCTCTTATTTTATGAAAGGCCTGCACTGTACCCCTACAGCTCTCACCTTCTATACCCAAATTCATTACTCTGCCCCCCTCTTATTGTATGAATGGCCTGCACTGTACCCCTATATCTATCCCCTTCTGAGCTGCAATGCAGTGTATCCACCACTCCTGTAGGCATGGCTGGATGGGTCCATGTTCACTGAGAATCTGGGTAATATGTGCATTAAGCAGACTCCCTTATTGGTTTATTACTAGAGCCGGATCAATCAGACACAAAGCTCTGCCATGGGGGGATGGGGGTCTCCAACGCTTTCACAGAGGATTCCTGAGAAGGCAGCGCTTTGTTCTGTAAATTCATTTTATAGAAAATTACCCTCTGAATGTAATGGCTCATACCAGCAATTCGCAGGATACCGCCTCCATACTCGAATCCATTACGCTGCTCCCCCTCTCATTAAATGAAAGGTCATCTATTCCTTCTACAGCTAAATTCATTAACCGCACCCCCTCTTATTGTATGAATGGCCTGCACTGTACCCTTATATCTCTCACCTTCTATACCCAAATTCATTACGCTGCCCCCCTCTTATTGTATGAATGGCCTGCACTGTACCCCTATATCTCTCACCTTCTATACCCAAATTCATTACGCTGCCCCCCTCTTATTGTATGAATGGCCTGCACTGTACCCCTATATCTATCACCTTCTATACCCAAATTCATTACTCTGCCCCCCCTCTTATAGTATGAATTGCCTGCACTGTACCCCTATATCTCTCACCTTCTATACCCAAATCCTTTACTCTGCAACCCCTCTTATTGTATTAAAGGCCTGCACTGTACCCCTATATTCATTACCTTCTATACCCAAATACATTACTCTGGCCCCCCTCTTATTGCATGAATGGCCTGCACTGTACCCCTATATCCATCACCTTCTATTCCCATATTCATTATTCTGCCCCCCCTCTTATTGTATGAATGGCTGGGATTGTACCCCTATATCTATCTATAATGAGAAATTACGCTGCTCCCCCACTTATTGTAGAAAGGTCCTACATCTGGACACCTTTTTATAATTCCCCCCCCCCCTCTCTTAATTACCCCAAAACAACCCACACTTCTTCAGAAATAAAATGAAAGCTATTGTTCGGAAATATTCATTTTTGACAGAGGGGCATTGTCTGCTTCTTGCAGCAGTGATTGGGCCCCTGAAAGTGCCCAGCCTGCAGGTTTTCCTCTGATTGGGGGGGATGGGCCCCTCCCGAGGGCTTGTCGTAGGAGCAGGCATTCCATCGTGGTACCCGAGGCTCTGATTGTGTCTCCTCTCTCAGCTGATTGCCGGGGACACAAAGGAACAAAGACATCCCGGCACAGAAAGTGCAGCGCGTCCTTCGGTGACTGCAG